GTCATTTCTTATTTATCAAGGATCTGTACAACAGGAAGAAATTACAATAATATATTTATATGCACCTAATGAGGGACCAATAAAGTACTTAAAACAACTACTCATAAACTTGGAGAAAGTTCTCGATAGCAACACAAGCTCCAACACTAATAGGAGATTTCAACACCGTTTTATCACTTAATGATAGATCAACCAGACTCAAGCTTAGCAAGGACATACTTCATCCGAGGGAAAAAATGGAAGGAAGGGACTTAGTAGATATATAAAGGACAGTTCATGCTCAAAATGCTGAATACACATTCATCTCAAGCGTGCATGGAACATTCTCCAAGATAGACCATACGCTGAGCCACAAAACATACTTTCATAAAATTAAGAAGATAGATAGAGGTTGTATCAACAATATTTTTCAGAGCACAATGCACTGAAATTAGAAGTAAATCACACACACAAACAGAAAACTAAATTAAACACCTGGAAATTAAACAGCTCACTATTGAACAACGGAGAGCCCGGCAAGCTACCGAGAGTATTCGATATGCCAGACACAGTAACAACAAAGTCTCCAATGGAGACGTTACTGGGCCCGCTCGAGCAAATCGACGATCAACGGGAGGGCCTTTACTTACTTTACTTTACTATTGAACAACAAGTGGCTTAGAACGGAAATCAAAGAGGAAATCAAAAGATTCCTGGAAACGAACGAATATGAGGAGATGAGTTACCAAAACATATGGGACACAGCAAAAGCTGTCTAAAGAGGAAAGTTTATAGCTCGACAAGCATTTTTCAGGAAGGAGGAGCGAGCCCACATAAGAAACCTAACCTCTCAGCATAGGAGCTTGGAGAACGACCAACAAAAGGAGCCTATCCGAAGAGGAGAAAGGAAATAATAAAACTCAGAGCAGAGATTAACGAGATCGAAACCAAAAAAAAAAAAAAACAATCTGAATGATCAATGAAACGAAGAGGTGGTTCTTCGAGAAAATAAACAAGATTGATAAGCTTCTACAAAAACTCACAAAGAAATGGAGAGAGAAAACCCTAGTAAACCAAATCAGAAATGAAAAGGAGGACATCACAACAGAAACCACATAAATTCAAAGGATCCTCAGGGATTACTTTGAAGAGCTTTATACCACGAAACAAGAAAGCCTTGAGGAAATGGATACATTCCTGGATTCCTATAGACTCCCAAGGCTGAACCAAGAGGACCTGGAATACCAAAACAGACCTATCACCATCAAGGAAATTGAAATGATAATAAAAAGTCTCCCCAATCACAAAAGTCCTATCCCAGATGGATTCACTAATGAATTCTTCCAAATCCTTAAAGTGGACTTACTCCCAATCCTCTTTAAGCTTTTCAAGGAAATTGAAGTTTCAGAAACACTTCCAAACATTTTCTATGAAGCAAATATCACCCTGATGTCAAAAGAAGACAGAGATACCCCAAAGAAAGAAAATTACAGACCGATATGCCTAATGAACACAGAAGCAAAGATCTTCAACAAAATATTAGTAAATAGAGTCCAACGACTCATCAAAAAGATCACACACCACGACCAGGTAGGATTCATGCCAGGGATACAAGGATGGTTTAACATTCACAAGTTGATCAACAAAATCCATCATATCAAAAAAAGAAAAGATAAAAACATATGTTCAAATCAATAGACACAAAGAAAGCATTCGACAAGATCCAGCACTCATTTATGATGAAAACTCTCAGCAAAATGGACAATGAAGGAACTTTCCTCAATATACTCAAAGCATTTACAAGCCCACGGCAAGTATCATTCTCAATGGGGAAAAACTAAAAGCATTCCCTCTAAGATCTGGCACATGACAAGGTTGCCCACTTTCGCCACTACTATTCAATATAGTACTGGAAGTCCTTGCCATTGCAGTCAGTCAAGAGAATGGTATCAAGGCGATACAAATAGGAAAGGAAAGAGGTCACGCTATCACTATTTGCAGACAATATGATAGTATACTTAGAAAACCATAAAGACTCTCCAAAAAAGCTCCTGGAAACAATAGATCGGTTTAGTAAAGTGGCAGGCTACAAAATCAACACCAAAAAGTCCATGGCTTTCTTATATACACATTATGGAAGAGAAGAAAGAGACATTAAAAAAACAATCCCATTCACAATAGTGCCTCAGAAAATAAAGTACCTCGGAATCAGATTAACCAAGGAGATGAAGGACCTATAGAAGAAAAATTACAAAACACTACTTCAAGAAATAAAAGAGGACACTACACTAGGAAATGGAGACACATCCCCTGCTCATGGATAGGGAGGATTAAAATTATTAAATGGCAATAATGCCCTAAGAACTATACAAATTCAATGTGGTCCCTCTCAGGATACCCATGACATTTTTCAAAGAAATAGACAAAACACTCCTGAAATTCATAGAGAACAATAACCCCCCATGAATAGCTAAAGCAATCCTTGTGAAAAAGAAGATGGGTGCCATCACCCTTCCCAACTTCAATCTGTACTACAAAGCAGTAGTAATTAAAACAGCCTGGTACTGGGCTAGAAACAGACCTACATACCAGTGGAACAGAATTAAATATTCTGTCACAGACCCCCTAAATATATAATCACTTAATCTTTGACAAAGGAGCAAGAAATGTGAAGTGGAACAAGAAAAGCCCCTACAACAAGTGGTGCTGGGAAAACTGGATAGCTATCTGCAAAATAATGAACTCTGACCTCTGTCTAATGCCAGGTACAAAAGGCAGATCAAAGTGGATTGAATACCTCAATATCAGACATGAATACATAAGGTACATAGAAGAAAATGTAGGCAGAACTCTCCACGACATTGAAGCTAAAAGCATCTTTAAGGAGTAAACAACACTGGCCATGCAAGTGGTAGCAAACATAAACAAATGGGAGTATATCAAACTAAGAAGCTTCTGCACTTCAAAAGAAACAGTGATGAAAATAAAGAAAGATCCCACATAATGGGAAAAATATTTACCCAATATCCATCTGATAAGGGAGTAATATCCAGGATATATATATATATATATACATATATATATCACTAGCAGAATTGTATGAGGAAAAAATTCCAACCCCATCAAAAATGGGGATAAGAAATGAACAGAAGTTTCCTCAAAAAAGAAATACAAATGGAAAAAAGGTACATGAAAAAATGCTCTACATTGCTAGCCATCAGGGAGATGCAAATCAAAACAACAATGATATATCATCTCAAACCACAGAGACTGGCACACATTCAAAAGAAAAAAAGCAAACAGTGTTGGCGTGGATGTGGGGGTAAAGGGACACTCTTTCACTATCGGGAAAAATGCCCATGGGTCCACCCTTTTTGGAAAATAATATGGACAGTCCTTCAAAAACTAGAAACTGAGCTTCCATATAAAACCGCATTACCACTTCTGGGAATGTATCCTGAGGATGCAAAAAAGCACACTAGAAATGACATCTGTACCTATTTGTTCATTGTAGCACTGTTCAGTTCACAATAGCCAAAATCTGGAAACAACCCAAGTGCCATAGAACAGATGACTGGTTAAAGAAATTTGCTACATCTACACAATGATATATTATGCAGCTGTCAGGAGAGATGAGGTCATGAAATTTACTTACAAATGGATAGACATGGAGAGTATCATGCTGAGTGAAATGAATCAGAAAGAGGACAGATATAGAAGGACTGCACTCAAATGTGAAGTATAAAACAACATAACATGAGGCTAACACATAAGGATAGTAGATACACAGGTCAGGAAGATTGCATCATAGCTGGAAGCCTGCCTCATGAGCAAAGGGGAGAAGGCAGCTGGAATTGAGAAAGAATCACTAAGAAAATGATGGCTGGAGGAACCAGTCGGGATGAGAGATGTGTGCTGAAAGTAGATAAACATGATAAACATGATAACCTCCCAGTATCTGCATTGCAAACCATAATGCCCTAAAGTAGAGAGAGAGTATGGGGAATATTGTCTGCTATGGAGGCAGGGGGAGGGTGGGAATTGGGGATATACAAGGGATATTGGTGGTGGGGAATGTGCACTGGAGGAGGGATGGGTATTTGATCATTGAGTGATTGTAATCCAAACATGAAAGCTTGTAACTATCTCATGGTTATTCAATAAAATTAAAAAAAAATCTATTAGAATGGCTCTAACCCACCCCCTGGAGGATATGGAAGTCGACCAAAGTTAGATAAAACAACAATCACATAAACACCCATGCTTCTGCCATAAGAATGAATATATGCCTTGTACCTGGATTTAATACCCTGTTTCTCCTTTGGTCCCTGAACTCCATCAAGAGTGATCCCTAAGAGTAGAGTCAGGATAAGCCCTGAGCACCTGCAAGTGTGGACTCAAAAAACAAATATAAACAAAAAGAAAGAATAAGTACTTAACTCCCTAAAGTAATGTCCATGGTTAAAAAAAATTTAAACCGTGTATTAAATTTTCCCTTGAGCCTTCAATACAGCTCTGAACATGAAAGTTGTATTGGTGACTGGAGGGGGGTCCCCCTTCTCGACCCCCACAGGAACAGAGACAGCTTTTATCATTCAGAGTAGGAACTGCTATCAGTATGGTAGCTTAATGATGTTTTATACAATACTCTCCTAGGAATATTATGTCTTCTCTCCAGTCAACTGACCAGCCAGTAAACAACTTTTAACATGGAAGGTACTAAGCAACATGTTTAAGAAACACACACACACACACACACACACACACACACTCTTTCTCTCTTATCTATCTCTATCTCTCACTGTTTGTGGTGTAATTCTCTTAGAAAAAACAATAAGAAGCTGATTTCAGATGTACTCATTATGCAGATATACCTAAGTATTGCTGCACCATTCACTGAGTGAGCTGTCATTTTCCATTTCCTAAAAAGATCGCTTGAATTTGCTACTACTATTGATTGTGGAGCTTATACCACACTGTCTCTGGGCTTTCTATTGTGTTCTGGAGACCTGGCACCAGAATATTCAAATCACTGTGGCGTTAAACACGTTTTAATATCTGATAGGGCCAGTTTCTGCGCATTGCATTTTTCCCCCTTTCAGGAACACGTTCAAGCCAGCGGCAGGGGGCGGGGTCGCGCCTCCTCCGCGGCTCCGGTTCCAGCCGAGCCCCACGGACGTGAAGATGGAAATCCCAAGGATACTCCCAGCTCGTGGGTCTCGACAGGGCAGCGGCGCTGGCAGCCCCTCGGGTGGCGGCCGGGTCCACCGAGGCCCTGACCCGCGAGCTGGCCAGGCCCGGGCGCGCCGCCTCCTGCTGCTCGGGAGCCCCCAAGATGGCGGTCCGGGGCGGCGGCGCGAAGAGGCCAGCGCGGCTACACCCGGCTCTGGCCCAAGCCAGTTGGGTCCGCGGAGGCCTGATCACGCTGGCGGCGGCGGCGGCGTCGGCGGCGTCGGGAAAGGCAACGGCAACAGTGGCGGCGACGGCGAGGACTTCTTCCTGGTGCTGCTGGACCCGGTGGGTGGCGACATGGAGACAGCGGGTGCAGGCCCGGCCACAGGGTCCATATGGAGGGAGGAAACAGAGCCAGGCCCACGGCCTGAGGGGGGAGATAGCGGCGCGAATCTCGCGGTCCGCCCTGCATTGGGACCTCGCTGCTTGTCTGCAGTCCCAGCTCCTGCGCTAGCTCCGGCCCCGACCCTGGCCTCGGCTCCGGCCCAGAACGCTGCTGCGGCGGCGGCGGCGACGGCGGCGGCCGCGGCGGCAGCGGCCGCGGCGGCCGCAGCGGCGGCGGCGGCGGCGGCGGCGGCGGCCGCGGCTTCTGTTTCTGCTTCTGCTTCTGCTTCTGCTTCTGCAGCCTCCATCCCTGTCCCTAGCCTGGGCCTCACTGCTGCCTTTGCCGGAACCGTCACCATCCACAACCAGGACCTGCTGCTGCACTTCGAGAATGGTGTTCTCACCCTTGCCACGCCCCCGCCTCCTTGCTGGGAGCCTGGGGTCATGCCTGCCCCACAGCCTGGGGTTCTGATAGCTCCACAGGTGGGGGAACCCCAGGCCTCGCAGCCAGTGGACTGCCCTGAGCAACCACCAGATCTGTTGCTGGCTGAGCCAGTTGAACTAGCACCAGTGCAGGCGCTGGAGCAGGAGGGGGAGGTAGAGGGCCCGCTGACTGATAGCCCCCCTGGGCCACTGGGCTCAGGCCCAGGTGTGGTGCTGTACCTGTGCCCTGAGGTGCAGTGTGGACAAACCTTCACCAAGAAGCACCAACTGAAGGTGCACCTACTGACGCACAGCAGCAGCCAGGGCCAGCGACCCTTCAAGTGCCCCCTGAGCGGCTGTGGCTGGACCTTCACCACCTCCTACAAGCTCAAGAGGCACCTGCAGTCCCATGACAAACTGCGGCCTTTTGGCTGCCCGGCGGAAGGTTGTGGCAAGAGCTTCACCACCATATATAACCTCAAGGCTCACATGAAGGGCCATGAGCAGGAGAACTCCTTCAGATGCGATGTGTGCGAGGATTGTTTCCCCACGCAGGCCAAGCTCAGCGCCCATCAGCGCACCCACTTTGAACCCGAGAGGCCCTACCAGTGTGCGTTTTCTGGCTGCAAGAAGACCTTTATCACAGTGAGTGCCCTGTTTTCCCATAACCGTGCCCATTTTAGGGAACAGGAACTCTTTTCCTGCTCTTTTCCTGGCTGCAGCAAACAGTACGACAAGGCTTGTCGGCTGAAAATTCACCTGCGGAGCCATACCGGTGAGAGACCGTTCCTTTGTGACTTTGATGGCTGTGGCTGGAACTTCACCAGCATGTCCAAACTCTTAAGACACAAAAGGAAGCACGATGATGACCGGAGGTTCATGTGCCCTGTGGAAGGCTGTGGTAAATCTTTCACGAGGGCTGAGCATCTGAAAGGCCACAGCATAACCCACCTGGGCACAAAGCCTTTTGTGTGTCCTGTGGAAGGCTGCTGTGCCAGGTTCTCTGCTCGCAGTAGTCTCTACATTCACTCCAAGAAACACTTGCAAGATGTGGACACTTGGAAAAGCCGTTGCCCAGTCTCCAGCTGTAATAAACTCTTCACATCCAAGCACAGCATGAAGACCCACATGGCCAAAAGGCACAATCTTGGCGAGGATCTCTTAGCTCAGCTGGAAGCTTCAAATTCTCTTACACCTAGCAGTGAACTTATCAGCCAGGGACAGACTGATCTCAGTGATGCAGAGCTAGTGTCCCTTTTCTCTGATGTGCCTGGCAGTAGTTCTGCTGCAGTACTGGACACAGCATTGGTGAACTCTGGAATCTTGACTATTGATGTGGCCTCTGTGAGCTCAACTCTGGCAGGGAACCTCCCTGATAATAGTAATAATAATAATAATAATAATGATGATGATGATGCTTTAGGGCAGACTGTGGACCCTCGGGCCTTGATGGCCACCAGTGACCTTCCTCAAAGTCTGGATACCTCCCTTTTTTTCGGGACAACAGCTGCAGGTTTTCAACAGAGCTCCTTAGAGGTGGATGATGCCTCAAATCTAAGTGCAGGGCCTTTGGGGACTCTGGGCTCTTTGACTATGAAAAACTCCAGTCAGGAACCCCAAGCCCTGACCCCTAGCAGTAAGCTAACAGTAGACACAGATGCTCTGACTCCTTCAAGCACCCTTTGTGAAAACAGTGTCTCAGAACTACTGATGCAAACCAAAGCAGAATGGAACTTACATCCTGACTCTGCCTTCTTTGGACAGGAGGAAGAAACCCAGTTTGCATTCACCAGCCCAGCAGGAAACCACGTTTCTCAGAAAGAAACAGATCTTATCACAGTGACTGGAAGCTCATTTTTGGTATGAACCATTCATTCCTCGCCTCTTGTATTAATTGGACTCAATTTTATGGATATCCTGGACCGAAATATCTATGAGAAATGCAGTCATTTTCTCATAGCTTGAAAATGATCAGAGCCCTGGGAAACAAGTTTGGAGATGTAGATTCTGATCTAGTGTTTGGCATTTTTAAGTTGAGTCGGTGACCCTGAGCAAGTCACTTAAATCTTGTCTGAGCCTTAATTTCCTTATTTATAAAATGAGGTGTCTTTGAATAGAGCACTTCTAATCTATAATGTACCTATAGTTTGTGTCTTTCCAGCTCTGTATTTTCACAACTTTGTGCTCTTTCTTTTTTCAAGGATTTTACTTAGGGATTTTACAGTGATTAACTATTGCATGTGCTTCTAATGTAATGAAAAGTGCATTGAAAGGTAATGATAAGAGAACATGGAACAGGTATTTTAAAAAATGGAAATTTTAGCACAATACCAAAAGATTTCTACAATCACTTTGTGGCACTTAAAGAAAGCCAAGAGTAGGGGACAGTTCTTTTAAACTGATTATCTTTCTAACCTCTGTTTTGATGGAATGTTGTGTGGTTTGGGTGAAAAGTGTCAGGTTTTGATATGACAGACCCAGAGTGAAATATTGATGTTTCTGGTGTAAGTGGCCTTAAGTAAGTTATTTCATCACACTGAGCCTCAGTTCTCAGGCACAATATGCTTTTAGTGACAACAGTCACTGTAATGTAAACATACTTGGTGCATCTTAAGGCAATTTTTTTTCTCTCCCAGTATTTAACTTTTGGAGAGAAAATGTGGTGTTTTGGCATGTTTCGGTGAAATTTTAGTCACCATTCTGTTCTGTCCCTCACTTTCCTAACTCAAAGGGGAGCAAGAGGTATGCTTTAAAATCACACGTGTGCATTTGGTTTAGGAAGCAGTGAAGGTGATCTCGTCCACAGATTATGAAGGATATTTTTTTTCCTCTACACAAAGCTTAAGTGAAGGGGCTCACATGTGCACCAGACCAAATTATAATGTCTTTGGTCTGTAGTCAATGCCAGTCCTAGTGAAACTAATATACAGCCTGGGGTTTCAGGAAAATCTGGGAACGAAAGAGAGTAAGGTTTTTCTTTTCCCTGTGCCCATTTCTCACTGCTTGTCTACTGCCAGAGTTGGAATGAGAGGTTTTGTCTGCATCGTGAGTACATATTTTGTCTCTTCACATGATCAGAACATTTTGCAGTTTCTATGGCACTTTCATAGCTATTACACTTCATCCCCACGGCTTTCAAGATAGTTATGGCAGAGTTTTAGCTATAAACCTTATTAAAATTTAACTCTCTTTTAGGTGAATTTTTATTTAGCACGTGCACACGCGCGCGCGCACACACACACACACACACACACACTCATGCATACACAGAAACCCTTGTATAAACAAGGAAAGGTTTTTCACCTCTCCGGTTTAGTTATTCTGAGTGTCTTGATCATTTGATGTTATAACTAGTTGTTCTATTCCACCTAAATTAATGTCTGCTTCCTTCTGCCAGCTTTGCTCCCTCCCCAACCTGTTCTTTTGCATGTGCATGCTAGTTCTTACCTTGATCGCTTTTAGAACTTGAACTTGGAAGTTTGTGTTTATGGTCACCATCTCTTGTCCCTTCTCTTCATGTCGCTTTTTTTTTCAGTTGAACTGTCTACTGCAATTCTAAGTGTTCCCTAATAAATTACTTTCTCGATTTAGATGTCAGTGTATTTGTATATAAAACAAATGATACCAGGAATGTTTTGTTTTGTTTTGTTTCGTGGTGCCAGGGATATTTTGGTAAAGCTTTATTGCAACATTTACTTCTTTTCTATTTTTTATGCCATGTGATTCTGATAACAAACTGTTGCTCTAAAACATTCTAACTTGCATGTGTATGTTTGTAGATAGCTATTTAGCACTTTGTTACTGCACTTTATAATTTGCCATGGTGAAATTCATATGAGCTGCCTTTCACATTTAGTGGTAAGTGAAAATATATGTATGTCAATTTCTAACCCAAAGCAAATATGTCTTATTTTTCTATTCTTTTAATCATTTCTTCCTTAGAGCATTGTAAAGAATTTGACCATTTTCAAAATATTGCTAATATAAGCCCTCTTAATGGACTACCCTTATTCTTCTTCAAATACAATGCAAAGCTGAACATGCAGTTTATAGGCATATTGTAAGATATGTAACTATAAAGTTATCTTAAAATACTATCATTTCTTTAATTCCCAGTTTTGTTTCTTCTCACTGGTAAAACAACAAAAACCCCAAACTATAATAAACCTATACTTTAATTATGGGATAAATTTTATTTTTCTTGAAGATTGATGTCTTGTAATAGACATTTCAGAAGGTTTCTTCAGTATGTCTGAAAGATTATCTTTAAATAACATTTTATTAGCTTGCTTTTGAAAATGGCATGGAATTACAGATTCAGATGTGTGACTACAAATATAACGGTTACTCCTTTTGATGTTGACATAAATTTCTGATTTTTCAGACAATGAGTTTTGACTTTTTCTGACTTCCTTTATGTTATGTATTTGTTTAGCTCTTGGTTAAGAGTTGAAACCTTTCTTATTGAAAACACAGCAACAGAATGCTCTCAAGAATGGTTTGCACAAGAGCACTTGCCTAAACTTGTCTATCATGAGTTAGAATAAGTAAATCTTAATATTTTTGTTGTTACTTTATTATATAACTGAAAGCCTGGGGTAGGACAAGGTTGAATATGACTTAGGTTTCTTTATGGATCAAATGCTTTATCTTTCCACCTAGGAAAATTGAAAGAAGGCCTTGGTGTAATAGGGTGTTTATGACACTTCTTGGTTTCTGATAAAGCATTTTAAAATCTCTCTTTTCAGGAATCTTTACACTTCAATAATTATTAATATGAAAGTTAATAAATAATTTACATGCATCCCAATGCACATTTTTGAGGAGAGGTTGCCTACACCTGCCAGTGCTCATGACTTACTCCTGGCTTTTTGCTCAGGGAAAACTCCTGGCAAGCTCAGCGTGGGTCATAGTGGGTGCCAGAAATCAAACCTGGGTCTGCTGCGTGCAAATCAGATGCCCCTACCCTCTGTACTGTCAGTCCAGCCCCCTCAATGGACATATTTAATAGTTGAAGTAGTTTACTGTATACAAATCTATGCATATATTTCTTTTTTAAAATAATTTACATAACAGTTTTAAACAATCAATACCTGGAATAGTGTATCTGAACACCTTGTCAGAATTCGACTTCAAATAAATCGAAAAGTACTAATTTCCACCAATTACTATATATTTGTCAAAAATAAATTGGTTCTTTTATTAGTTATAATTTTGTGAGGGCTTTCTTTCAAAGGGGTACAACTTGTCTTGTACAGGGACTCTTCCCAGATTAGTGCTTGGAGAACACTCCAGGTGGTGCTCAGAGGACCACGCTATGCCAGGAATTGAACCCAGGCCTTTTCAATACAAGTATGTTATCCAGCACTTTGAGTTCTTTTTTTCTTTTTGATGGGTTTGGTTTGGGTTATATTTTTAAAATTCTTACCTATTACCTGTTTCAAGTTATTGACTGAATATATATAAAAAATGAAAGTTAGAAAACTATAGACAAGTATACTAAAATATAAGCCATGCCTTAATTTTTGAATAACACTGGCAGGGGAGAGATGGAATGCATCCTTTGAATCAGAGTCCCAGATTCAGAACTTGGAACTGTTTGGTTCTCTAAATAGTACTTGTAGTGTTCCTTCAACACTGAGCTGGGAGTATCCCTCAGCACTCCCATATGTCACCTCCAGATCAAATACAGATTTGAAGATGACATAGTAATTAATGTTCAAATTATCATTACACAAGTTTTCAGACACAGATTTTGTATCTGAAATTTGGTGAAAATAATGGGTATTATTTGGGTGAAATAATATGGGTATTATTTGGTGAAAATAATGGGTAGTAGTTAAACTTTGTTATTTAAATTAGATTTATGTTATATTTTAACTAAATATATTTAATTATATTTATATTATTTTAATTGTTATTTAGATTTAATTATATAAAAATGAGTTGATAATACTCTGCCAGGGAGTATTAAGATATGTATTACTACAAAGAAAAAAGATTGGAATGGCCACACACAACTCTGGGAAAGACAACTTCGTTTAAATGCATGACTTTTCAGTAAGTATCAGTATGGAGCCAAACTGGAAAGTCGTGAAAACCAGTCACAAATTTTGGACTTTGTTATATGCAACTGAAGATATCTAAGAATAAATTTGAATGATGATTATGTAGAAAGTTTGATATATTAGAATATATAATGTGATTTAGGTAAGGATTGGAAAGGAAGCTCAGGAGTCTGCTGTAATCAAGTTTGGGTCTCCAAATAGTGTCTCAGACTGTAGTAATTATAAAAATAGATAAATACTAGAGATATCCAATACTGTATGACTTCTGGTTCACTGAAGCTATTCTATATCCATAAGAAAAATAAATGAAGATTAAAAGTAACTCATTAGGGTCTTCTGGAGGGTGTAAAATTACCATTTGTTAAACATGATGGTTGTGTATAGAAATATTTTGAGTATATATAAAAAGATTATTAATTTAAATAAAGTTTAATTAATCAAGAAGTTTTAAAACAGTTAATCCTGAATGAATTATACATCTTATAAATTATCTACTTTATCTGCACAATGAGAGACTTGGAGCTACTTCATCACCCTTTATGTTCTTGTTCAGGTTTAATATTTTCAGTCATTTGCCCTTGAATATTTACAGGGTTGATCTCTTTAGCTTCATACAATACCTTCCTGGAACACTGCTTCAAAATGAACTGGTCACCATTTCATGTGGTACTGAGTAATGTTATAAATCATTTTATAATTTGAAGTCATTTCAAAAGAAATATTTTTAGATTGGGTTTTTATTATTTAAATTGGAAGAAAACATTAAGATTGTTCAAAACTCTCTTCTTGCCATCGTTT